AATTATATGCTTGTCGCCCGACCCCGAGCAGGAGCCTGGTGAATGTCTGCTTCTTTCTCAGGGCCTCCTGACCGTCCACATCTCCCTTCCCTCCAGGCTGCTGTGAAATTACATGCGTGTGGCCTGACCCCAAGCGGGAGCCTAGTGAATGTCTGCTTCTTTCTCAGGGCCTCCTGACCATCCGCATCTCCCTTCCCTCCAGGCTGCTGTGAAATTACATGCGTGTGGCCTGACCCCAAGCGGGAGCCTAGTGAGTGTCTGCTTCTTTCTCAGGGCCTCCTGACCATCCACATCTCCCTTCTGTCCAGGGTGCTGCCAGTGCAGCCAGAGGGTGTCCAGGGGCCAGGGTTTCCATCGCAGGCGAGTGGAGAGGTCTGGGGACGAGGGACGGGCTGACCCACAGCCTCAGGAGCCCCTGCCGCTGCCTCTTGCCTTTGCACAGCTGGTACTTTCTAGATCTTAACAAAGTTCTGGGCAAAAGTAGCTCTAAGTCCTGTCCATGGCAGAGCCCGACCTCCTGGTCCTGACTAGGGAGAAACGCTGGGACTCGCCAGGGGCTGACCATGGGGCTCTGTCTCCCCGCCCAGAATCAGACACCTTCGGGGCATCACCGGGCTCGGGGGCGGGGTCTTCAGCCCCGGCTTCTGGAATGTTTCCTGGCCATGAAAACCTTTATCAGATATAAGAAAGTCACACGCAGAACACCAACAGTCAGCTCAAAGCAGCACTGAGACTGGCGGGGACTCGGAGGCCCTTGCCGCCCCTTGAGCCTCAGATGGCCTCTGCTCAGCAGAGTGAGACCCCCAAACTGCCCAGGATGGAGGGATTCCCCCAGACAGCTTACCATGATAATGCCAGTCAGGGTCACCTTTTGGGCAAATTGGAAGTCCTCCAGGTCCTTGATGTTCTTGATGGCATCGGTGACCTGCACCACGCTCTTCATGAAGGCCAGTTTGAGGCAGATGTCCTATGACCATGATGAGGGGCAGGGAGGACGTTGTTGTGAGTGAGCCCCAAAGACCCCAAGACTGAGCCCTGCTCCCAGACCCTGGGGCCACACAGAACACCCTTCCCCTGCTGAGGAAGTATCAGTGTCAGGGGCACTCTCAGAGATGCTGGCCCCACCCTGCTCTTCAGCAACCTAGTCGGGACATTGGCCAGGCACTGGACAGGGCACAGCCTCCCAGTGCCACCCCCAGGAAGGTGCTGCCTCCCCAGCCTCTCCATCTTGTGCCTGAGTACAACAATGCCAGTCAGGGGGCACCTTCGTTCACCAGAGGATCTGTGCCCTGTGTCTCATTGCAGGGGCAGAGCAAGTTACGGAGGTCAAATCAGTTTTGCTTTTCTAAAGCATGACCGAACCTTCAGGACATTATGCAAAATGAAATCAGGCGATCTGCAAAGGACAAACACGGTGTGATTCCAGTTTATATGAGATGCCTGGAGCGTCACCCTCATAGAGATAGGATGCAGAGCACGAGTGTCAGGGGCTGGGGTAGGGGGAGTGAGTAGGGAACTGATGATAGTGGGGGCAGAGTTTCAGTTTAAGAAGATGAAGTACTGCAATGATGGTGATGGCTGCCCAAAGTTTGAATGCACTTAATGCTATGCGAGTAAAGTAATGTTCAAAATTCTCCACGCCAGGCTTCAAGAATATGTGAACTGTGAACTTCCAGAGGTTCAAGCTGGATGTAGAAAAGGCAGAAGAACCAGAGATCAAATTGTCAACATCCACTGGATCATCGAAAAAGCGAGAGTTCCAGGAAAACATCTACTTCTGCTTTATTGACTATGCCAAAGACGTTGACCGTGTAGACCACAACAATCTGTGGAAAATTCTTCAAGAGATGGGAATGCCAGACCACCTGACCTGCCTCTTAGAAATCTGTATGCAGGCCTGGAAGCAACAGTTAGAACTGGACATGGAACAACAGACTGGTTCCACATAGGGAAAGGAGTACGTCCAGGCTGTATATTCTCACCCTGCTTATTTAACTTATATGCAGAGTACACCATGAGAAATGCTAGGCTGGATGAAGCACAAGCTGGAATTAAGATTGCTGGGAGAAATATCAATAACCTCAGAAAAGCAGATGACACCACCCTTATGGCAGAAAGCAAAGAAGAACTAAAGAAGCTCTTGATGAAAGTAAAAGAGGAGAGTGAAAAAGTTGGCTGAAAGTTCAACATTCAGAAAACTAAGATCATGGCATCTTGTCCCATCACTTCATGGCAAATAGATGGGGAAACAGTGGAAACAGTGACAGACTTTATTTTGGGGCTCAAAAATGACTGGAGATGGTGATTGCAGCCATGAAATTAAAAGACGCTTACTCCTTGGAAGAAAAGTTATGACCAACATAGATAGCATATTAAAAAGCAGGGACATTGCTTTGCCAAGAAGGATCTGTCTAGTCAAAGCTATGATTTTTCCAGTAGTCATATATGGATGTGAGAGTTGGCCTATAAAGAAAGCTGAGCACGGAAGAATTGATGCTTTTGAACTGTGGTGTTGGAGAACACTCTTGAGAGTCCCTTAGACTGCAAGGAGATCCAACCAGTCCATCCTAAAGGAAATCAGTCCCGAATATTTATTGTAAGGACTGATGCTGAAGCTGAAGGTCCAATCCTTTGGCCACCTGATACGAAGAACTGACTCTAAAAAGACTCTGATGCTCAGAAAGCCTGAAGATGGGAGAGGAAGGGGACGACAGAGGATGAGGTGGTTGGATGGCATCACTGACTCAATGGACATGAGTTTGAGTAAACTCTGGAAGTTGGTGATGGACACGGAGGCCTGGCGTGCTGTGTCCATGGGGTCACAAAGAGTTGGACATGACCGAGCGACTGAACTGAACTGAACTGAATGCCAATGAACTGCGTGCTTAAAAGTGGTTGTGATGATAAATTTCACGTCATGTGTACTTCACCAGTTTTCAAAACAGCAATGATAAAGTCATTTCTCCTTTATTCCCTGAGTTTTCTCCTCCTGGCCTTTCCAAGAAAGCAGCCAGTCCCTTTGCCTCTCTGAAGACAGCCCGTTTCTTGACCCTTAGAAAGGGCTTGGGGTCAGGTGTCAGGATCGGGGCAGAGGTGAGAGAAGGCATGAGCAAGGGGCTGGGCGAGGGCTTGTCCTGTGACTTCAGCAACCCACAAACACCCCTCCTCGTTATATCTGGGAAGGCTGTTCCCCACCGCCGACGCCCCACCCCAGCCCCTGCATCAGAGAACAGCAGAGACTGGGGCAATGGGATTCCCAAATGCTGAGTGGCAGACGGGATTCCAGGACTTGAATCTCCTGGGTGGGGCTGGCCGTGCCCAGTTAACCATGCAGGGTGACTCTCACTGTCCCAGCCCGGGGCTCCAGGAGGGCATCTTCGGGGCACGGTGCGTCTGTGGGCTCCCAGGGTTGTCTGGCAGCTGCTGGAATAGTGGTGAATGATCTTGGCGGTGATGGGGTTGTACACATAGATGACAAGCATCTGCGGTTGGCAGCACGAGGCCACGCACTGTACATCACCATGAGCGCGCCCTTCACCGCCTCCTGCCTCCAAAGATGGTCCTTCTGTGAGGCTAGAAAGAAGGGGAAGAGACACTGTGGCCATCGGGGAGAGGATCTAATCCTCAGGTGTTTCCTGGGCACCTGAAGCGCTCAATCATGTATTCTCTCACTGAACACACGTTCATGAGCCCCTGGGGTACGCTATGCCCTGGCTGTGGCGTGGTGAGCAGGTCAGGCCGTGGCCATGACTCCACGGTCGCAGGGGTTCTGTGCGGACACCCCACCAGAGGCGGCTGTGCGCGCCTTCACACCTTCACCTCCTGAGCACCGGCTCTGGGCCAGGGGCTCCGAGATGCTGGTGATTCACTGGGAACAGAGAGCCTCAGCCCAGCTCTTCCGGGAGGAGTGTCGGAGGCCAACCAACCCACCATGAGAGGAGGAGCAGGGGAGCCCATGCTCTCCAGGCTTTGAGTAGAAATCCAGGTCTGAGGCTCCACTTTGTGGAGAACCCGGGAGAGAAGTCGGGACACTCCCAATTCTCTCTCTCCAAACTACCAGATCCCCAGGGCAAAGGTTCAAGGCTAAGGCCAAAACCTGAATCATCGGTTGTGACACAGCTGGTGGCCCCCAGGGGACTCAGGCAGCCCTGGGCACTGTGCCCTGTGGATGGAAGGGACAGCCTCCAGAGACCAGCCTTTGGCCGCCTCGGTCCAATTCCCCGCTCCACTTTGGCGAAGGAGACACAGAGGGGAGTTTCTTATTGAGATCTAGTAAGACTGCAAGGAGAGCCAACCAGTCCATCCTAAAGGAGATCAGTCTTGAATATTCATCAGAAGGACTGATGTTGAAGCTGAAACTCCAATACTTTCGCCACGTGATGCAAAGAGCTGACTCATCTGAAAGACCCTGATGCTGGGGAAGATTGAAGATGGGAAGAGAAAGGGACGACCGAGGATGAGATGGTGGGATGGCATCACCAACTCAATGAACATGAGTTTGAGTAGGCCCCAGGAGTTGGTCATGGACATGGAGGCCTGGCGTGCTGTGGTCCATGGGGTCACAAAGAGTTGGACATGACTGAGGAACTGAAATGAACTGAACTGAACCAAAGAGCCTTGGTTGGGGGCTCAGAGCAGCATTCTAAGAGGCCCCCAGACTACTGATGATGGAGCAAGGGTGCCTCACCCGCCAGGCACCAATCTGCCAGGACTGCTCTGACTCCTGGATCCCCTCTTCAAAGTCATGGAGCACGCCCAACACCGTCTTCACCTGGCCCCGGGCACACAGGCCAAAGCACAGGATCACACCCTGTGGGGAGATCCAGTGGGCAGGGTGAGAGGGTGGGGCGGGGGACACCCCATCTGTCCCCCCGGCACACACACACACACAGATAAACAGACACGCACGCGCACACTCAGATAAACACAACGCCCGCACACAGGCACAGGCGTGCACACACCACGTCCTCCCGAGGCCCGGGGGACCACGGGCACCTCACCTCCCGGTCGAAGTCGTCGCTGTGGTCCGTCTTGTAGAGCCGCTCCAGCAGCAGCACCCCCACCTTGTCGGCCTCCAGGCCCGTGGCCGGGGGGAAGCCCAAGGACCGGTACAGAAAGCCCTGGAGAAGCCGGAGGGACGGAGGGCACTTCAAGCCTCCCGCCCGGGCCTCTGGGGTCATTGCCAAGGGTGGGTCCCTACTCGTTCCTCCAGACTTAAAAATATGCCTTTTGGATATTTTCAAAATCAAGTATCCAGGCTACTCTGAGAGGTTAGCCTGTAGCAGGGCCTGCATGTTACCAAGAGTGGGGGCCAAGTTTCTCTCCTACATAAATGGAATCATTCTACACTCCCACCAACAAACCTAGGAGCACTTATGTTCCTGCCTTCTCTCTGACTTAGGATATTATCCACGTGAGGTGGAATGTTTGCATCTTGGTTAGTCATCTTTGCATCTTCTCATGGCCCAATCTTGGAATTTCTGCCTCAATTCTTTCCCCATTGTTGGATTATGTCTCTTATTTTTTGTTTACAAGAACTTTGTGTGTACATTTGGGAAAAAATAACGCGAACAGACATACATTATCTCATTTAATCTGCACAACTACTCTGAAAGGCAAACATTAGCAGGAAGTAGTAGAACCAGGCTTTAAAATCAAGCAGTCAAAAAATAAATAAATAAATAAAATCAAGCAGTCAAAACGCCAACACATAATACAGAAACAATATCATCACAAATTCAAAAAAGACTTCTGAAAAATGGTCCACATAAAAACAAATCTTAAAGAAGGAAAGAATAAAACCAAGCATAGCCTGAAGCTCACTTCTTTTTTTTTTTTTATTTTTTTTTTAAATTAATTAATTAATTTATTTATTTTTTAATCACAACCATAGTGTATCTTTTTTTTTTTTTTTTTTACATGTATTCCCCATCCCGGGCCCCCCTCCCACCTCCCTCTCCACCCAATCCCTCTGGGTCTTCCCAGTGCACCAGGCCCGAGCACTTGTCTCATGCACCCAACCTGGGCTGGTGAACTGTTTCACCCTAGATAATATACGTGTTTCAATGCTGTTCTCTTGAAACATCCCACCCTCGCCTTCTCCCAGAGTCCACAAGTCTGTGCTATACATAGGAGTCTCTTTTTCTGTTTTGCACATAGGGTTATTGTTACCATCTTTCTAAATTCCATATATATGTGTTAGTATACTGTAATGGTCTTTATCTTTCAGGCTTACTTCGCTCTGTATAATGGGCTCCAGTTTCATCCATCTCATTAGAACTGATTCAAATGAATTCTTTTTAATGGCTGAGTAATATTCCATGGTGTATATGTACCACAGCTTCCTCATCCATTCATCTGCTGATGGGCATCTAGGTTGCTTCCATGTCCTGGCTATTATAAACAGTGCTGCGATGAACATTGGGGTGCACGTGTCTCTTTCAGATCTGGTTTCCTTGGTGTGTATGCCCAAAAGTGGGATTGCTGGGTCATATGGCAGTTCTATTTCCAGCTTTTTAAGAAATCTCCACACTGTTTTCCATAGTGGCTGTACTAGTTTGCATTCCCACCAACAGTGTAAGAGGGTTCCCTTTTCTCCACACCCTCTCCAGCATTTATTGCTTGTAGACTTTTGGATAGCAGCCATCCTGACTGGTGTGTAATGGTACCTCATTGTGGTTTTGATTTGCATTTCTCTGATAATGAGTGATGTTGAGCATCTTTTCATGTGTTTGTTAGCCATCTGTATGTCTTCCTTGGAGAAATGTCTGTTCAGTTCTTTGGCCCATTTTTTGATTGGGTCATTTATTTTTCTGGAGTTGAGCTGGAGGAGTTGCTTGTATATTTTTGAGATTAATCCTTTGTCTGTTGCTTCGTTTGCTATTATTTTCTCCCAATCTGAGGGCAGTCTTTTCACCTTGCTTATAGTTTCCTTTGTTGTGCAAAAGCTTTTAAGTTTCATTAGGTCCCATTTGTTTATTTTTGCTTTTATTTCTAAAATTCTGGGATGTGGGTCATAGAGGATCCTGCTGTGATTTATGTCGGAGAGTGTTTTGCCTATGTTCTCCTCTAGGAGTTTTATAGTTTCTGGTCTTACATTTAGATCTTTAATCCATCTTGAGTTTATTTTTGTGTATGGTGTTAGAAAGTGTTCTAGTTTCATTCTTTTACAGGTGGTTGACCAGTTTTCCCAGCACCACTTGTTAAAGAGGTTGTCTTTTTTCCATTGTATATCCTTGCCTCCTTTGTCAAAGATAAGGTGACCATAGGTTCGTGGATTTATCTCTGAGCTTTCTATTCTGTTCCATTGATCTATATTTCTGTCTTTGTGCCAGTACCATACTGTCTTGATGACTGTGGCTTTGTAGTATAGTCTGAAGTCAGGCAGATTGATTCCTCCAGTTCCATTCTTCTTTCTCAGGATTACTTTGGCTATTCGAGGTTTTTTGTATTTCCATACAAATTGTGAAATTATTCGTTCTAGTTCTGTGAAAAATATCGTTGGTAGTTTGATAGGGATTGCATTGAATCTGTAGATCGCTTTGGGTAGTATAGCCATTTTGACAATATTGATTCTTCCAATCCATGAACACAGTATATTTCTCCATCTGTTTGTGTCCTCTTTGATTTCTTTCATCAGTGTTTTATAGTTTTCTATGTATAGGTCTTTTGTTTCTTTAGGTAGATATACTCCGAAGTATTTTATTCTTTTTGTTGCAATGGTGAATGGTATTGTTTCCTTAATTTCTCTTTCTGTTTTCTCATTGTTAGTGTATAGGAATGCAAGAGATTTCTGTGTGTTAATTTTATATCCTGCAACTTTACTGTATTCGTTGATTATCTCTAGTAATTTTCTGGTAGAGTCTTTAGGATTTTCTATGTAGAGGATCATGTCATCTGCAAACAACGAGAGTTTCACTTCTTCTTTTCCTATCTGGATTCCTTTTACTTCTTTTTCTGCTCTGATTGCTGTGGCCAAAACTTCCAAAACTATGTTGAATAGTAGTGGTGAGAGTGGGCACCCTTGTCTTGTTCCTGATTTCAGGGGAAATGCTTTCAGTTTTTCACCATTGAGGGTGATGTGAAGCTCACTTCTTAAGTGATCACTCCTGTGGTCCATTTCCACAGTGTCTCATTTCTCTTTTGATTTTATTCACAGTGATTTCATTTGGTCAAGCAGACAATTTTCATTTTTGAGTACAGTCTCTTTCTTTTCCTTTGTCTTTCTGAAAGATTCTTTTTATGCATATGAAGGTCTATTCTATTCCATGTTAAGACTATAAAAATAGTCATCAGTACATTCTTCCTGTCACTCCATGGTTGTATTTCATTTCATGCACTTACATCTTTGTTCTGAGAGAACAAATCCTTCTCTAATGAGCTTTGTTAAAGATATGCTCTTAGCTATTATTCTCTTACATTTTTTTTAATTAGGGCAAACGTGGAAATAATCTTGTCAAATAAAACTGTCAGACTTCCACAAATTTCCCTTTTGGGAAATTAGAAGTAAATTGCATTGCAGATATTTTTTGTTGGTTTTTGGCCGCATCACTTGCTGTGCAAGATCTTCGTTCCCTGATGAGAGATCAAACCCTTCCCCACTGCAGTGGAAGCACGGAGTCCTAACCAGTGGACCACCAGGGAAGTCCCTGTCTTGCAGATTAACTTGACAAAAATGGACACCTGAGCAACACTGAGACTTCCTATCCAAGAAGCAGAGATTGTGTATGTTTGGTCAGGCTTTCTTTCAGCCTTTCTGCCCCTTCTTGTAATTTGGGGTTCTTCACCTTGGTTCCACACATTTCATATATTCACTATTTTTATTTGGTTACATATTCTACATTGTGTTGCTGCTTTGAATAGAGACTCTTTTCATTATGTCGTATTTTTGTTTTGTTAATAAGAGAGATTATGGTTTTGCCTGTTAACTTTTGGGGAAAGAATGACTCTATCGACCGGAATTACAAATCTGGAGGCTTTGGCAGCCTTGCCCCGCCCCGCCCCACCCCCCCCCACCCCGCCCCACCCCCCCCCACCCCACCCCACCCCCGCCCCCAGAGGCTTCCTGTCTGAGTGATGAACAGTCTGGGAGAGTCCTGATGAAATTCCTTAAGCCATTGTATCCAGTTGTGACTTTTTAAGGTATCTGAGCCAATGAAACCCTATTGATTTGTTTACGTTCCTTTAAGCTAGGTGAGTTATTGTAATAAGGTTGAATTACATGCATGGCTTATTAAATACTACACACACGTTTCTTTCAAATAGGCATCTGGCCCTGAACTGGTATCTGATAAGATCTCACACCCACAAATCTATAGCATTTAGCTACAGAAGATATACATTGCTGTGTATATTTTACATTTGCTATTATGAAGGGTGCATATTTGAACAAATGAAAACTTTAGTTGACTTCTCTAAAAATTCTTTTTAAACATCTTTATTGAAGTATACTTGACATACCGCTGAATGAGCCCGTTTAAGGTTTAAAGATTTTAAGTTCACACATTTACCAAGTTGTGTGATAGCCATCACAGCCAAGGTTAAGACATTTGCATCACCCCAAAAAAGAAATTCTGTACGCACTGGCAATCATCCCACATTCCCCTCATCCATGACAACCACCCATCTAATTTTCTGCCTCATTACATTTGCATTTTCTGGATATTTCAAATAAGTGGAACCACATCATACATGGTCCTCTGCATCTGACTTCTTGCACTTACTGTAATGTTTTCAAGGATCATCCTTACTGTAGCAGATGCAAGCACTTGATTCCTTTTCATGGTTGAATACTACTCTGTTGTATGGATATAGCACATTTTGTTTATTCATTCATCCACTGACGAACACTTGAGTCTTTTCTACTATTGGCTATTTGAATGATGTTGCTCTGAATATTTACATACAAGCTCTTGTGTGGACAAATGCTTTCATTTCTTTTGGGCATATATAATTAAGAGCATAGTTGCTAAGTCATAGATAGTTCCATATTTAACATTTCAAGGAAATGCGAAACTGTTTTTCAGAAACACTGTACCGTTTTGTATTTATACCAGCAATATATTAGAGTCCCAATTTTTCCATATTCTTGTCAATACTTGTTATCATCTGTCTCTCTGATTACAGACATCCTGTGAGTGTGGAGCGATGCCTGAGGTTTTGATTTGCATTTCCTTAGTGGCAATGGTCTTTAGAATCTTTCCATGTGATTACTTGCCATTTGTATAGCTTTCCTTTGCCCATTATTAAATTGGCTTATTTGTCATTATATTATTGAGTTATAAGAGTTCTTTATATATTCTAGATACAAGTACCTACTCAGGGACTAGATTTGCAAATATTTTCTCTCATTTGGTGGGTTGATTTTTCACTTTCTTTTTTTTTATTTTTTATTTTTCCATTTATTTTCATTAGTTGGAGGCTAATCACCTTACAACATTGCAGTGGTTTTTGTCATACATTGAAATGAATTAGCAATGGATTTCCATGTATTCCCCATCCCGATCCCCCCTCCCACCTCCCTCTCCACCCGATCCCTCTGGGTCTTCCCAGTGCACCAGGCCCGAGCACTTGTCTCATGCATCCAACCTGGGCTGGTGATCTGTTTCACTATCGATAATATACATGTTTCGATGCTGTTCTCTTGAAACATCCCACCCTCGCCTTCTCCCACAGAGTCCACAAGTCTGTTCTATATATCTGAGTCTCTTTCTGTTTTGCATATAGGGTTATCGTTACCACCTTTCTAAATTCCATATATATGTGTTAGTATGCTGTAATGGTCTTTGTCTTTCTGGCTTACTTCACTCTGTATAATGGGCTCCAGTTTCATCCATCTCATTAGAACTGATGCAAATGAATTCTTTTTAATGGCTGAGTAATATTCCATGGTGTATATGTACCACAGCTTCCTCATCCATTCGTCTGCTGATGGGCATCTAGGTAGCTTCCATGTCCTGGCTATTATAAACAGTGCTGCGATGAACATTGGGGTGCACGTGTGTCTTTCAGATCTGGTTTCCTTGGTGTGTATGCCCAAAAGTGGGATTGCTGGGTCATATGGCAGTTCTATTTCCAGCTTTTTAAGAAATCTCCACACTGTTTTCCATAGTGGCTGTACTAATTTACATTCCCACCAACAGTGTAAGAGTGTTCCCTTTTCTCCACACCCTCTCCAGCATTTACTGCTTGTAGACTTTTGGATAGCAGTCATCCTGACTGGTGTGTAATGGTACCTCATTGTGGTTTTGATTTTCATTTCTCTGATAATGAGTGATGTTGAGCATCTTTTCATGTGTTTTTTTGCCATCCGTATGTCTTCCTTGGAGAAATGTCTGTTTAGTTCTTTGGCCCATTTTTTGATTGGGTCATTTATTTTTCTGGAGTTGAGCTGGAGGAGTTGCTTGTATATTTTTGAGATTAATCCTTTGTCTGTTGCTTCGTTTGCTATTATTTTCTCCCAATCTGAGGGCTGTCTTTTCACCTTGCTTATAATTTCCTTTGTTGTGCAAAAGCTTTTAAGTTTCATTAGGTCCCATTTGTTTATTTTTGCTTTTGTTTCTAAAATTCTTGGATGTGGGTCATAGAGGATCCTGCTGTGATTTATGTTGGAGAGTGTTTTGCCTATGTTCTCCTCTAAGAGTTTTATAGTTTCTGGTCTTACATTTAGATCTTTAATCCATTTTGAGTTTATTTTTGTGTATGGTGTTAGAAAGTGTTCTAGTTTCATTCTTTTACAGGTGGTTGACCACTTTTCCCAGCACCACTTGTTAAAGAGGTTGTCTTTTTTCCATTGTATATCCTTGCCTCCTTTGTCGAAGATAAGGTGACCATAGGTTCGTGGATTTATCTCTGAGCTTTCTATTCTGTTCCATTGATCTATATTTCTGTCTTTGTGCTAGTACCATACTGTCTTGATGACTGTGGCTTTGTAGTATAGTCTGAAGTCAGGCAGGTTGATTCCTCCAGTTCCATTCTTCTTTCTCAAGGTTACTTTGGCTATTTGAGGTTTTTTGTATTTCCATACAAATTGTGAAATTATTTGTTCTAGTTCTGTGAAAAATATCGTTGGTAGTTTGATAGGGATTGCATTGAATCTATAGATTGCTTTGGGTAGTATAGCCATTTTGACAATATTGATTCTTCCAATCCATGAACACAGTATATTTCTCCATCTGTTTGTGTCCTCTTTGATTTCTTTCATCAGTGTTTTATAGTTTTCTATGTATAGGTCTTTTGTTTCTTTAGGTAGATATACTCCGAAGTATTTTATTCTTTTTGTTGCAATGGTGAATGGTATTGTTTCCTTAATTTCTCTTTCTGTTTTCTCATTGTTAGTGTATAGGAATGAAAGAGATTTCTGTGTGTTAATTTTATATACTGCAACTTTACTGTATTTATTGATTAGCTCTAGTAATTTTCTGGTAGAGTCTTTAGGGTTTTCTATCTAGAGGATCATGTCATCTGCAAACAGAGAGAGTTTCACTTCTTCTTTTCCTATCTGGATTCCTTTTACTTCTTTTTCTGCCCTGATTGCTGTGGCCAACACTTCCAAAACTATGTTGAATAGTAGTGGTGAGAGTGGGCACCCTTGTCTTGTTCCTGATTTCAGGGGAAATGCTTTCAATTTTTCACCATTGAGGGTGATGCTTGCTGTGGGTTTGTCATATATAGCTTTTATTATGTTGAGGTATGTTCCTTCTATGCCTGCTTTCTGGAGAGTTTTAATCATAAATGGATGTTGAATTTTGTCAAAGGCTTTTTCTGCATCTATTGAGATAATCATATGGTTTTTATCTTTCAATTTGTTAATGTGGTGTATTACATTGATTGATTTGCAGATATTAAAGAATCCTTGCATTCCTGGGATAAAGCCCACTTGGTCATGATTTTTCACTTTCTTGACAGTACCATTTTCAGCACAGAAATTTTTAGATTTGATGATGTTCAATTTATCTATTTTTTCCTGCATCACTTGTGCTTTGGGTGTTATTTCTCAGAAGACTTTCTTTGCTCAGACCAAGATCATGAAGATTTATATTTATGTTTCACTCTTAGAATTTTATAGTTCTACCTTTTCTATTTACATATATGGTCCATTTTGAGTTCATTTTTGTGTGCGGAATGAGGAAGGGACCCAACTTCATCATTTTGCAAGTGGCTATGCAAGTCTTCCCAGCATCATTTGTTGAAAAGACTACTCCTTCCCCACTGAATTGTCTTGGTACTCTTGTTGAAAATCAATTGACAGTAAATGGGAGGTCTATTTCCAGATCCTCAATTCTATTCCATCAATCTATTATCTATCCTGATGCCAGTATCACTCTGTCTTGTTTACTGTAATTATGCAAGAAGTCTTGAAATTGCAAAATCTGAGTCTTCCAACTTTGTTCGTTTTTAAATCATAACTGTGTTGGCTATTCTAGGCCCCTTATAATTCCACAGGAATGTTAGGATCACGTTGTCAATCTCTGGGGGTGGGGGTGGGAAGACAGCTGGGATTATAGTGGGGGTGGTGTTGAATATATAGATAAATTGGCAAGTGTCACCATCTTAAATATAGTGTCCTCTAATCTGTGTACATGAAATGCTTTCCATTGGTCGAGACCCTCTCTGATTTTCAACAATGTTTATAGTTTTGTAAAGACCCCTCAACGATGAAATATACACATGCAGTGGTCATGAGCCAACAGCTAGATGAGACAGGGAGGAGAAACTAGTGTGTGGGGAGGGATGGGGGTGGGTGTGCAGCATGGTTTGATAGAAGGTGTTCTGTCTTCTACCCCTGTTTGCCAAAGGTGGAGGTCCACCACCAAGTGCCTGCTCAATTTCCCCCTCCAGGCCTTATCTTCCCCTTTGGCATCCTGTGGTATGGTGCAACATTCACCCTTTTCACTATTTACCAAAACACGTTCAGATCTCATTCCTTGCCATGGACTCTGCTAGGGACAACACTGCAGGTGGGGCTGAGGTGAGAGGAATGAGGAAGCTGGTGACTGGAAGGGAAATGCCCCCCAGCTCCAACAAAGCAGGTTCTTGAGGGGAAACAAGACAGAACAAAACACTACAGGCCTCGGGTCTGGGCCAGCCAGCCGTCTGCCCTCCCAGGGCGCTGTGGGCAGCCTCAGGCCTACCTGGCCTCACGCGGGCTGTCCCCGGAGTCCCCTCCCTGTCTGAACGGCCCTGCCTCTGGGAACCAACCTTCTCCAGGGAGGGGCTGTCGAAGCTCTCGATCTGGTTGTTCAGCTCTTTGCTCAGACACAGACTCCAGCGGGAACCCCGAGGCATCTTGAGGGAGTTTCTCAGAAACTGGGGGTGGGGAAAGAAGGCACAGGTGGGCAGTGCTCCAGAGGGCTGTGCTCCTTGAGCCGTGACTCTCCCTCTCCAGCGGCTTCCCTGGTCTCTAGAGGGCTTCGCCCTTTCAGCCCCGACCCAGCCCTAGTGCTGTGCAGGCTTGGGGGCTGCCGGGAGGGGGTCACCCTGTGCTGCCTCCGGGGCTTTGGCTTCCAGGGTGGGGTCTCCTGCTGTAGCTGCTTGTGCTCCCCAAGTCTTGTGACAGGAGGGGAACTTGTCCCCTAGGGTCTCCAGAACTCCCCACATGCCAAACCCACAGAGCTGCCCCAACCACCCCCCAGCCCGGCCTCAGGCGGCGGGATCACCTCTACCTGAATCAGCCTGTCCTCCCACGTCTTCTGGTTCCAGGTAAACTCGGTGTGTTCTGCAGAGAGAAGGGCCACCTGTACTCCACTCTCCTGCGGCTCCTCCTCGCCGCCTCCTAAAGGCAGCATCTGGGGTCCTCCGTGGACGGGCTCCCCACAGCCCCACGTCCCTCCCCACCCTCCCAAGGAGCAGAGTAGCTGTGCCGGCCACCTGGAGCCCGGGCACGTTTGCTCAGGCCACGTGACTGGCACTCGGCATGTACAGTGATGTGAGGTGGCTCACACACCCCGGGATCCTTTGCTCAGACGAGGTGGTGAGTACCTGGCATGTACACTAGGGGTGTGTGGGGGGATCACACATGCACTCGGGCTCCTTTCCTCAGTCATAGGTCTAGCACCCGGCGGGTACACTTAGGGGGTGGCTTACACACGCACCCGGGACATCTCACCTTCCAGGTACTTGACCAACAGCGGGATCTCCAGCTCCCACATGTCAGCCATGGAGAGGGCGATGCTCTGGTTCAGGGTTTCAACAAGGTTGATCATGGCGATTCCGCAGCCCTCCCCCTTGTAGGGGGACGACATCAGTACCTGGGGAACACCGAGACTCCAGTGCGGCCCCTCGCTGGCTGGGTAGCCCCAGGCCCCGCACGCCCCAAACTGGGCCTCGCTGTCCGAGCCCATAAAGGGAGAGGTGGACAGGATGGGGCCTTTCCAGCAGAGCTCCAAGGATTCCCAGGATCAGAGCATCCCTGCAGAGGATGCTGAAGGCAGGAAAGGAGACACGAGAGCATGGACTCCCTCCCCACCCCGGGTTCCATGGAGCTTGGAGCAGGGTCAACACAAGGAGGAGGATGCATGGTGCAGGGCGGAGCTGACACCCAGGGAAGGGCAGACTGCTGACACAGTCCTGCGAATGCTTGGGGCCATTCAAAGGCCCAGCAGAGAAATCTGGGAGCCTGCTGCCCTTGCCATATCTCCCCAGAGGGACGATGGGGGCCTGGAAAGCTCTGTCCTGCCAAGCATCCAGCTCTCTGCTCCCCCTGGAGGTCCCGGTGATTAGGAGCTCTTGGGAGGGGTGCTGCAGGACAAAGCAGGGGCCAGGCCAGTGCACGACTCGTGAGCCACTCACCAGGAGTTGGGCCAGCAGAATATGCAGCACGGGTAGATCCACTGGGGAAAGAAAGATGCAGGACACTGAGGCTGCTCCGCTCCTGTACACTGGGGTGCTTCCCCTGCAAGGTGTTGCCCCAACAGCATCCCAGAGCCCCCCAGAATTCAGGAGGGGTCAGGACGGGGTATTTTCCTCAAAGGACATCACGACAACTGGCCATCCCGGGGAGGAGGAGCCTGGTGCTCTGGGCTGGGGCTGAGAAGATGCTCTTTTTTTTTTTCCCCCAATTTATTTATTTATTTATTAATTGGCGGCTAGTTACTTCCCAATATTGTGGTGGTTTTTGCCATACATTGACAGGAATCAGCCATGGGTGGACATGTGTTCCCCATCCTGAACCCCCCTCCCACCTCCCTCCCCATCCCACCCCTCAGGGCCATCCCAGTGCACCAGGCCTGAGTGCCTGCCCTGTTTCATGCAGCGAACCTGGACTGGCGATCTATTCCACATGTGCTAATGTACATGTTTCAGAGCTATTCTCTCAGATCATCCCACCCTTGCCTTCTCCCACCAAGTCCAAACGTCTGTTAATTACATCTGTGTCTTTTGCTGCCTTGCATATAGGGTCATTGTTACCATCTTTCTAACTTCCATACATATGTGTTAATATACTATGCTCTTTTCAGGACGTGCCCACTTGGGAGTGCACACCCGGCCGGCCTGAGAGTGTTTCTCTTCTCCTGTGAGTCTTGGCCTCCTCTAGCCAACAGTAACTAGACACCTCCCCATCCCCTCCCCTCCCTCTGCAGGCTTTGGGAGCCTGTGAACCCACGAGTAGGGATCTCACAGCATTTGGACCAGCAGGCTAGGGAAGGGCAGGCCTGCTGGAAGCTGCAGGGAGGGGTGGCACCCAGGAAGGAGGCAACCAGACTCGTGGTCCGGGTAGGAGGCAGACCAGGGGTGGTCTAGCCGGATGCTCAGAGCAGTCTCTGCCCCTACCATCGCTGGGTCCTGTAGGCTTGTAGTCACCTTCTGTCACTGGCCACATCCATCCTCAAAGCCCCAGGACCATGGCAGCAGCCCCCTGGGACAGCAGGGTCCCCGTAAGTAGGACAGTCTAGTCCCTTTCTTGAGGGTCTGGTGCTAACAAGTGGGTCATCACGGTGAGTCAGAGGGCCTGGTGGGGGTGGTTCCAGAGGCCTCAGATAGGATATACAGTCCTTCCAGTGGGCTCACGGGGGCCAGAGAGCTCACACGTGTGGGAAGCCTGAGCCAGGAACCCTGCCCTGGGGTCTGGGCCAGGGTGGGTGGGAAGTGGGGATGAGAGGAGTGGGCTGCCAGAGGAAGCCTGCACAACTTTAACCTCCTCGGATTTCGGCAAGGGCGGCCTCTTTGGGAAGGCCTGGCTCTCTGGGCTCCAGGCTGCTTCCTGGAGAAGGGGGAACGGTCCGAGGCACGGGGCGGCCCACCTGCCCAGTCCCTCCAGCTGGCGCAGGGGGTTACCCACCGTGCCTGTTCTTGCTTGTGCTGGCCTGCTCGTCATTGGCGTGCAGCTGGCGCTCGGCCAGGTTGGTGAGGCTGACGCAGATGGGGTCAAGGCCTCCGTGTAGTCCGTCTCCATGATGCAGCACAGGTGCCTCACCCAAAATCCCTGTGGGGGCGATGGGGGTGAGGTGGGGGTGCTGGGGTCAGCCAGCCTGGGCATCGCACAGTCCTGCGATGAGATGGTCGGTGCCCCCCACCAACAGCATTGTCTCAGCCTCGCTTCTCCAGAACCACACTCCAACCCACTGACTGACCGTCTCAGGCCTGCCGGCTCTGCTGCCCAGCCTGGGTTCAGCCAAGGCCGTCTAGGCTGCACCCACCCCATGGCCCGGGGGTCAAGTCCCGGGCCCTTGACCGCTGTGCCACCTGGCCTCACTCCAACCCCGTACCCAACACATCCTCTTTGACCAGCCCTCCCTCTAGTGGAAACCCACTCCAGTATTCTTTTTTGAAGAATCCCACAGACAGAGGAGCCTGGTAGGCTACAGTCCATGGAGTCTCAAAGATTTGGACACGACTTAGCTACTAAAGTGAAGTCGCTCAGTCGTGTCCAACTCGTTGCGATCCCATGGACTGCAGCCTACCACGTTCCTACATCCATGGGACTTTCCAGGCAAGAGTACTGGAGTGGGTTGTGATTTCCTTCTCCAGGAGATCTTCCCAACCCAGGGACTGAACCCGGATCTCCCACACTGTAGGCAGATGCTTTATCATCTGAGCCCCCAAGGAAGTCTAGTTTCAGACAGGCTTCAGCAACACGTGAGCCGTGACCTTCCAGATGCTCACACTGGTTTTAGAAAAGGCAGAGAAACCAGAGATCAAATTGCCAACATCTGCTGGATCAGCAAAAAAGCAAGAGAGTTCCAGAAAAACGTCCATTTCTGCTTTATTGACTATGCCAAAGCCTGTGACTGTGTGGATCACAACAACCTCTGGAAAATTCTGAAAGAGATGGGAATATCAGACCACCTGACCTGCCTCTTGAGAAACCTGTATGCAGCTCAGGAAGCAACGCTAGAACTAGATATGGAACAAAAGACTGGTTCCAAATAGGAAATGGGCTACGTCGAGCCTGTATATTGTCACCCTGCTTATTTAACTTATATGCAGAGTACATCATGAGAAACACTGGGCTGGAAGAAGCACAAGCTGGAATCAAGATTGCCGGGAGAAATATCAATAACCTCAGAAAAGCAGATGACACCACCCTTATGGCAGAAATCGAAGAAGAGCTAAAGATCCTCTTGATGAAAGTGTAGGAAGAGACTGAAAAAGTTGGCTTAAAACTCAACATTCAGAAAACCAAGATCATGGCATCTGGTCCAGTCACTTCATGGGAAATAGATGGGGAAACAGTGGAAACAGTGTCAGACTTAATTGTGGTGGGCTCCAAAATCACTGCAGATAGTGATTGCAGCCATGAAATTAAAAGATGCGTACTTCTTGGAAGGAAAGTTATGACCAACCTAGATAGCATATTAAAAAGCAGAGACATTGCTTAGCAAAAGGTCCATCTAGTCAAGGCTATGGTTTTTCCAGTGGTCATGTATGAATGTGAGAGTTTGACTATAAAGAAGCTGAGTACCAAAGAACAGCTGCTTTTGAACTGTGGTGTTGAAGACTCTTGAGAGTCCCTTGGACTGCAAGGAGATCCAACCAGTCCATTCTAAAGGACATCAGTCTTAGGTGTTCCTTGGAAGGACTGATGCTGAAGCTGAAACTCCAATACTTTGGCCACCGGATGCAAAGAACTGACTCATTGGAAAATACCCTGATGCTGGGAGGGATTGGGGGCAGGAGAAGGGGACGACAGAGAATGAGATGGCCGGATGGCATCACTGACTCGATGGACATGAATTTGAGTAAACCCTGGGAGTTGGTGATGGATAGGGAGGCCTGGCGTGCTGCGATTCATGGGATCGCAAAGAGTCGGACATGACTGAGTGACTGAATTGAACTGAACTGAACTAGCTACTAAAGCAATAACAAATGCATCAGAGGTCAACAGAGCAAGACCCAAAGTCACCTAGGTCCAAGACTTTTTAATTACGATTCCAGCTTAGCGTCTGTCCACACTACCTCAGCCTCTGCATGCTGCCTCTCACACCAGGGAGCCCATGACCAGCAGCAGCCCATCTCTACTTCACTGAATCCAGGTGGTCAGAAAACAAGTGTCCTCCATGTAGTGCCCAACACTCATCCCCACAATATTCACTCATGTTCCTCAGTCTGCCTTCTGCAGACATGTTAACCAGTATGGGACAGACCCCCAAAGGCACTCGTCACATGCCCCTTCTTTCACAGCCCACATTTGCTCTACCTTCCACTCTCCTCTGGGCTTTTTGTTTCAAAGATTATTCAAGTGACATGATTGCAGTTCCATCCCAAAGACCCTGACTGTGCGCCTGCAGTGTGCAGCTAACTCTGGTTCCCTGCATGGTGGATACAGAGATGGGTTCTGCTGTTCAGTCGTGTCTGACTCTCTGTGACCCCAGGCTCCTCCATCCATGGGATTCCCCAGGCAAGAATACTGGTGTGGGTTACCATTTTCTTCTCCAGGGGATCTCCCAACCCAGGGATCGAAGTTGCATCTCTTATGTCTCCTGCATTAGCAGGCAGGTTCTTTACCACTTGCACCACCTTGGAAGCCCACACGCTCTTGTAGCATGCTGTATTTCAGAAAGGTCACAGGTCAATAACTTTAGAGACACCAGACCCAGTGGCTGAGTTGCCTGATACCAGCTGTGGTTATTTTGAAACTCTGATGAAGAAAAAAAAAAAAGCATGACCTTCTAGAGGATATAAAACTTCTTTCTATTCCCATGGGAGGGGCACAGCTCCTGAGGTGCTAGCCTGCTGTTTCCCTTTTGCCTGGAAAAAATAATTTACTCTTTTTTATTGCTTCCAAACTCTGTCTCTGTATTTC